TGATTTTATTAATTTGCATGTTCACTCTTTGTTGTTTGGTAAGTTTGGATAAAGGTTTGTCTATCTTGTTGATTTTCTCAAAGAATCAACTTTTTGTTATATTGATTTGTTCTATTGTTCTCCTAGTTTCCATTTTATTGATTTCAGCCCTCAATTTGATTATTTCCTGGCATCTGGGTGTATTGGCTTCTTTGCTTTCTAAAGCTTTCAGTTGTGCTGTTAATTCTATAGTGTGATTATTCTCCTGTTTCTTCACTGGGCATTTAGCACTATGAACTTTCCTCTTAGCACTGCTTTCAGAGTATCCCATTGGTTTGGGTATCTTGTGTCTGCATTCTCATTGAATTCTAGGAAATCTGTAATTTCTTTTATTATTTCTTCCTGGACCCATGAATTGTGCAATTGGGTGTTACTTAATTTCCATTAGTTTGTAGGTTTTCTGTAGTTCTTGTTGTTGTTGAATTCTAATTTTAAAGCATGGTGGTCTGATAAGACGCAGGAGGTTATTTCAATTTTTTTGTACTTGTTAAGGTTTGCTATGTTGCCAAGTATGTGGTCGATTTTAGAGAAGGTTCCATGTGGCCCTGAGAAGAAGGTAAATTGTTTTGTATTTGGGCAGAATGTTCTACAGGTATCTGTTAAGTCCAATTGCGCCATAACTTCTATTAGTTCTTTTGTAACTTTGTTAAGTTTCTGTCTGGTGTTCCTGGCCAGTGCTGAGTGTGGGGTGTTGAAATCTCCCACTATACGTGTGTGCGGTTTTATGTGTGATTTGAGTTTTAGTAAAGTTTCTTTTACAAACGTGGATGCCTTTGTATTGGGGGCATAAATGTTCAGAATTAAGACTTCATCCTGATGGATTTCTCCTGAGATGAGTACTTCATCTCTTTTGATTGATTTTAGTTTAAAGTCCAATTTGTTGGATATTAGGATTGCTACCCCCGCTTGTTTCTTGGATCCATTTGATTGGAAAATCTTTTCCCAACCTTTAATTCTTAGGTACCTTCTGTCTTTGAAGTTGATGTGAGTTTCTTGTATGCAGTAGAAGGAAGGATTCTGTCTTCTTATCCATTCTGCTAATATGTGTCTTTTTATAGGCCAGTTAAGACCATTAATTTGATGGATATTAATGACCATTGATTATTGTTCATTCTTGGTTTTTTTTTTTGATTTGGTGATGGTGGCAAGATTATGTTTGGTATTCTACCCCTTTTTTCTTTTGACTGTTGGTAAGTTGGGATTATATATTATCTATGTTTTTCTGGTTGTAGTTAACTTCCCTGGGTTGCAGTTTACCTTCCAGTACTTTCTGTAGGGTTGGATTGGTGG